AGCAGTTCCTCTCATTATGCAGGGTTTAGATTCCAATGGCTGCACTTATGGCCAAGTTTTTAAAATTCATCAGATTCAACCAGAGAGGGTTTAAACTTATAGTCTCTGTATGAATTTTCCACACACAAAAAAAGGGAGGTGGGCAACCATTTAAAGCTTTGAAACAGGTCTACTTTTCTCCTCCTTGCTCCTGTATGTGGTATGGTTTTTTTTTTTTTTTTTTTTTTTTTTTTTTTTTTTTCGAAAATCACATGTTTTGTATATTTTGAAATCGAGGGTAGATAATTCCTTCTTAAATAATCTCTTCAAGAGTTGTAAGGAACCCCTTAGCAACCTCGTGCCCCATAGCTCACAGATAGCATGAACATTTGATTGGTGCTTGGCAGCCATGGAACCGTACTTTTCCCGGAACATATATTTTACCATCCTATGCTTTAGTTCTAGAACAAACACCTGATATTATGTGTCTTAAGATCAGGTTTACTAAGTCTACATTTGACTTGAAAATGTAGTCTCTTGCATCAGAGTCTAAAACTTTTTCATTCCCTCAATCATTTTTTCAGTCTCTTGCTGCAAGACCATAGGCATACCCTGTCATGTTAACTGTCTTTCATGTTCACAGCTGTCATTTACTATCCAAGGATTCATTTTTGTGCAAATGAGTTCTCATCTTCTTGTGATTTTCAATAATGAATATCTCTACTTCTGTTTTTCTCACAACTTTATATTCTTTTTACAGGAACTGTCAGCATGCCTACTGCTTTAGCACTTATCAGGTATTAGGTGATCAATAATATTAATGGAACACCTCAAATGATGCAGTAACAGAGTAAACATCTTCTTTAAGAGAAACGACCCCACAAGCCCACTGACTCCCTTGGCTTTGGTAGGCAAAGCTGACTTCCTTTTGCTCTGCTGTGTGGCTTTTAAAAAACTATGTCAAACCCTAACCGGTTTGGCTCAGTAGATAGAGCTTCAGCCTGCGGACTGAAGGGTCCCGGGTTCGATTCCTGTCAAGGGCATGTACCTTGGTTGTGGGCACATCCCCGGTGAAAGATGTGCAGGAGGCAGCTGATTGGTGTTTCTCCATCACCAATGTTTCTAACTCTCTATCCTTCTCTCTTCCTCTTTCTATTAAAAAAAATCAATAAAATATAAAGAAAAAAACAACTGTTAAGAAGTTAAACATTCTTAATGATGTTTTTGATCCTCTATTCTGTATGTAGAGCAGTTTTTAAAGATTTTTCAACTCTCCAGAAGAAGCGAAGATGAGCATTAGCACCTTCCTTAAACTAGTTGAGGAATATCCAACTTTGCTTTAGGGAGAAAAAATCTTGCTAATGAGTTACCTTCAGTGTTATTTATTTATTTATTTATTTATTTATTTATTTATTTATGTATTTATGTATTTATTTATTTATTTATTTATTTATTTATTTTTTAGAGCTTTAATTGATTCAACCATTTGAGGGCCATCATTACCTGCTGAGGCCTCATTTACTGTTTGGATTTTGGGGCCTACGGTAACCCTTTGGAGATGTTTCCAAAGTTCTCTGGACCTCAATTGCCTTGCAAGCTTTCCTGGGAGTTAGCAGAACACCAGCAGCAAGTGGTTGGTACTGGTACGGCTTCCACCAAAGGGAGCTCTTTGCATCTCTCCACGAAGCTTATGAGGCTTATGAACCCCGATGAGCACATGACTGCAGCTTTCAGACGGCGCTAAGTCAGCCCCCGATATTCCGGGGGCGCCTAGAGGAAGCTGAGACCTCCTACTTGCACCCGGCCCGTCGGGTCAAAGGCTGGTCAGAAGCTCCGTGGGCGGGCGGGCGGGCGAGCAAGACTTAGGAAGAAGCCCCTCTGGTTAACCGCGGCCGGAATTCCCCTCACGTCTAGCTCCAGCCCAGCCCACCCGCAGCCTCCGCGTCAGCCCGCGCCGTGACGTCACCGCGCGGCGGTCGGGGCGTGGAAGCCGGAAGCGCGGCGTCCCCGAACCGCGGGCGCACCTGCGGAGAGGCGGCGGGAGGCAGCAGCGGGCATGCGCGAGGCTTGGGGCGGCGCAGGCGCCGTGCGGGCCTCGCCCTCAGGGAGCGGATCCGGTTCTCCAGGTTGGAGTGGGTGGGGTGTCTCGGGCTGTCCCCGCTGCGGGGGAGAAAGGGGAGAAGACGGAGATGGGAAGGGAGCCCGGGCTCCAGGGCAGGGCGGGTGTGCGGCTGGGATGGGGAGCGCCCGGATCCTGCTGGGCCTGGGTGCTGGCTGTGCCCCACGGAGTCAGGGAATTGTTTGTGGGAAGATGAAACCCAACCACCACGCACAGCGCGAGGCGCTTCTTCGGAGCCTGGAAACAAACACTCGGAACGCACGCCCAGAGCCGGGGGCCAGTTCTCCGCGCGGGGTGACGGCGCACCCGGGTGCCAGGCAATGCACAGAGGCTGACCTGTCATTATCTCACCCTCACGCCGCCAACCACCACCTTGTGGGGCAGGCATTATTTATGACATGATCCCCAAGTTCCCCGCTGGAAACCGAGGACAGATGAATTGTTCTACAGGTCACACGGATGAAAAGGGGTGGAGTTGCCATTGCCTCCACGTTGGTCCGATTCCAAAATTCAAAGCTGCCCATCAGACGCTCGAAGTCATGCAAACCAGACAGGGAAGACGTCCTGTACATGCTTGGCAGATCGTGATCTTGGGTTGTTAAAGAGGATTAAACCAGGCGGTGGGAGACAGGAGGGTGGCAAGGAAAAGGGGCTCAAAGTAGGTTTTGAGTGGCATTTGACAAATGGAAAGGAGAAAAGGAAGCTTCTGGGAAGTAAGGAAAATAAAGGCTTGAAAAATGGGAGAGGGAAGTGATTTCCTTAAAGGGAACCTTTTCTGTTTGGCTTGCAAATAGATGCGTCTGTAATTCCAGAGATAGGCTTGTCTTCCCAAGCAAGTGGACTTACCCTTTTATACACTAAAGTTTATGCTATAGATGCACGGTGATACCTCTGTTCAGTAAGAAGGCACATCTTGGCCACTCATTTATTTCACAGAAACTTCTGTACGGATGTCAGAGATGAAATGAGGTGGAAAATGGTTTCTTCAGTGCTTGCAGGTTCCCTGTCTCCTTTGTGGCTACAATGGTGAGAGTAATAAACATTTAACCTCAAATCCAGTACTCTCTCATTATCAACATCCTCCCTATCTTTCAAAGAAAGGAAGAAGAAAACCTATCCTCTTGATGGTTTAAAGAAGGTTCATGTCCCTTATTTGTTCATTTGTTCATGGTTTTATACAGCTGTCATTGACATAATACAGTTTATCTACCCAATTTAACAACTGATTACTACTTTGCATTAGTCTCTAATTGTTTAATAGGGACACCTTCCCCTTATCTATCCCTTTATAAATCTTATCTCCTAAGCAAGATTGTAAGATACCTCAGAATAGGGGCTATGTTTTCTATCTTCTATAGCTGAGTGCTGACTTACTAGTAAAAGACTTTCCAAGTACTTTTCTTATTCCTGGTTGAATCCTTGCTACTCATTCACCTGCCTGGCACCTGCTAGGCACTTAATAAGTATTAAGTCAATGAAATGTTGCCTTCTGGAGACATTACTCATCATTTCCTTCATATTTTCCTGGTTCTCTCTCAGGATCATGCCCTTTTGGTGCACACTCAGCAAGTGTGCCTTAGTTGCTGTGCCTTTCAGCAGGGGAAATATAATCTCCCTGTTGCCCTGTAAAGAATTGCCACCCGAACATCATGTCTCCAAGAAGTCTGTCAAGAAATAAACGTGGACAGATCGGTTAGCCTCAAAGAAATCCTGATTCTTTTCTGAACTGTGCGTCCCATGTCCACGGAGGTGCTTCATCCGAAGTAGGCGAAGCCACGTCAAGGCTGAACCAACCGCCTTTCTTCTGTCAACCCATTCAACCCACAGCAAAGGCTCCGTGGGTGAGGCGGGTGCAGGGAGATAATGAGTTCAGGTAATGCTTGACTATAGGAGGGTCAGAGGCTACAACAAACCCCTTTCCGTATTTTCATCCAGTGCTGATAAATGTCTCCCATTAACTAGCTGTATATGCATGTGCGTAAGCCACTTAACATTTCTGGACTTTCATGTCCTCATTTGTGAATGGGTCTGATAACAAGGATACCGCTACCTACCTACCCTGGGAGTTATAATGTATACATCTGTAAAGCGCTTCCTTAGAACGGTGCCCAGCACATTGGCAGGCGTTTAAAAAGTGTTGACATGTAAATAAAACGCCAGGCTAGTCTAACCTCCACTGCTACATTGCTAGCCTCCTGGAAGCCCCACCTATACTGAAATTCCCCTTTACGGTTTATATTTCCCCCACCGATGCTGTTTCTGATTACGGGGTGCTCAGGACCCATGCAGTCATTTTTGCTGCGGTCTACAGGGGCTGTATATAACTCGTAGAATAAACCCTAATAAATGTAAGGAATATCCTGGAATATCCGTCCTCTTCTAGCTGTTCCCTGGATCCCCCTCCACCCCTCGATTACCACCCCCCCCCCCCCCCCCCTACTTCCCGGCCTCCGCGGCAAGGGCTTGAATGGGGGGAGGAGGGCGTGCCCGTCTCCCTTCGGACCTCCCCACTTCAGCGGCTCCGCTAGATCCTTAGAAACCACCCCGCGCTGTCCCGTCGTCCGGGGAACGCCCTCGGGGGCGGGGCCGGGCGCCGCGCAGGCGCCGTGGAGCGGCGCCGCGCCTGCGCAGAGCGGCCCCGGAGGAGGCGGGGGATTGGTATGCGAGCGAGTGTGAGGGGAGGAGGCGCCGCCGCCTGTGGTACTACGACGAGCGCGGGCCGAGGGGGCGGGGGGATGCGCCGCGGCGGCGGCGGCGGCGGCTCGGGCGCTGGGCTGGTGTTCGCAGGCGCCAGAGCAGCGGGTCCCGGTCTCGCTGCCGCAGCAGCGCGGGTGTCGCGCGCGGCCGGAGACGCCGCACCTCTCTGCCCCTCACTTTCTTTTCTCGCCAATCACCGGAACCCATGAACGCCGCCGGGGCCCGGGCTCCGCAGGCCGCCGGTGCCGGGGGGACCAGGCTGGCGTCCGCGGGGAGCCGGAGTCCGAGGCGGCGGCGGCGGCGGCCCGAGGAGGAGGCGCAGGCGAAGAAGGCTCCGCGAGGAGGAGGAGGAGGAAGAGGAGGGAGCGAATGGCCGGCGGTCGGGGCGCCGCCGCGATGGCTCCCCGCTCCTGCTCCTCCGCGCCCTCGCCCCGCGCCGGCGCCCGGCCTGCCGGCCTCGGGCTGGCTGCTGCGGCGGCGGCGCTGGGCTGCGCTGCTGCTGCTCGGGCTGCTGGCGGCCGGCGCGGCGGACGGGTGCGAGCTGGTGCCCAGGAACTTCCGTGGGAGGCGCGCGTCGGCGGCTGCCGCCTCCTCGCCCGCCCCGGCTGCGGGCGACAGCCCGGCGCTCATGACAGGTGAGGGCCGGGGGGGACACGGCGGGGGGCCGTGGGGGATCCCCATTCTCGTTGCTCAATCGTTGCAGGATCCCCATTCTCGAGAGGGGCCCCCGGGCGCCCGCTATCCGACGGCTCTGGCCGGTGCGCGATGCCCAGGTCCCCCCCTCCTGCTCTGTCGCGGTCCCCTACACCCGGACGGACGCCTTCCCCTCCCCTCCCCCCGACACCCCGCTTTCGGCAGAGCCCCCCCAGGCCACTCGCCTCTCCGCCCGCCCTGAAGCCGGGCTCCCCGGAGATCCTGGCTGAGCTCTGCGGAGCTTGCCTTCCGCGCTGCAGGAGAGCCGGCGGGGTCTGCAGGGTGCTGGGCTGATTTTTTTTATTTATTTATTTATTTATTTTTATAAAGCTGCTAGAGAAAGTCAAACAGCGGCAATGCGGTATCGAGTCTGCTCCTGGGGCTGCGTTTGCAAAGGCAGCTGGGCAGCGAGTGCAGAGGTTCAAAGCCCCGCTGAGCACGGCTTTCCGGGGGAGGCAGCTAGAGGATTCTTTGAGAGTCACAATACCTGGTAGGATTAGTGGTTCCGTGTTAGAACGAGGAAACCTCCGAGCTGAGAGAGAGAGAGTGTGTGTGTGTGTGTGTGTGTGTGTGTGTGTGTGTGTGTGTTTGAGCGATGGGAGGAAGGCAGTGTGAAAAGATGGGGAAGTGTGTGCTTGCTGGTGGGAGCATCGCCCGGGTGCCAGAGGGTGCAGAGAGCGCAGCAGGTTAACCAGAAATGTGCCTGCAATGGATCCAGTGCAGGGCATTCAGGGCTCGTCTGTGAGTGGGCTGCACGGTTCTTCTGATAGACTGCACTGGCACCTTTGAAATACAGAACGTTCTCGACGTTATTGAAAACTTGCAAACGTGTTCGGTACGTCTAGGTAGAGAATCGAATCTTTTTCAGCCTCCCAGTGTGTCCTGTATAACTGATACGTTGTGGATTAAGGAATGATGTAAGGATCTTAAAATGATCTCTTTTGGAGAAGGAGTGTAGCTTATGTGTTTTTTTTTTTTTTTTGTACTTTATTTTAAAAAGTAATCTGTAGGTTTTCTGCATTAATTGCAGGACTGAAAAAAAGAGAAAGGAAAGCAGAACAAGATGACATCATGAATTTAACTGAAGGGCTAAGTCCAGCAGCCATCTGAAAGTTGCTAACAGCTGCTTTGAGAAGTGTTTGTTCTGCAGAGCACAGCCACTATTCTCTGGATTCTGTGACAGGATGTTTACTCTTCTAGAGAGGATAGAGGAGGGTGTTGGTGAACTTCTCAAGCTTTTTGGGAGTTTTGTAATGTCTAGAATATAACGATTGATCGGAATATTTAACTTGCTCTACTCTGAGACAAACCGAGCCCTTTTGAATGGGACTTGAAACATCAAACCTGGCACTGCGTAATTTGGGTGAAATGGTTTTAGAATGATCAGTATTAGGTGCCTAGTATAGTTTGAGTGAGAGGATAGATTGGATAGTCTTATGCTTGCATAGTCTTTTATCTTCCCAATAAAAATGTGGCAAATAAAAATGTGGTGAAGAATAGTGCTTTACTAGGAAAGTTGCAGGATAAAAATATAATATGAAGGTTTATTGCCTCACACAGGAAGGCAGGGAAACAAATATTTGAGCTTCTAGGAGCTATAGGGGTAGGGCTTTTGGTTTCTTGAACAGAAAAGATTAAAAAAGTAATTGGGTGCTTTGTTAACATGTAGTTGGTGGAAGGACACGTGATTCAGGAAACTTAGTATTTACGAACCACTAACAGTATATTTATTGTATGCTATGTAGGTTATATCAAGAAAATGACTTCCAATGGAATTTTATGTTAATAAACTGTTTATAATCTTTCCTTTTGAAGACTTAAATTTCTGGGATATTTGCGGCATTGTGAAAAAAAGGAAGGCTGATACTTACTGGTTAAAAAGTTTGACATACCAAGATTTTTGCACTATAGTGGGAAGTGAGGTTGTACTCTAGTGCTTTAAAATAAGTGTACCAAAATAATATTAACCCTGGGATTTATTTGTAATGTTCTTGTTCTTTCCCTTTGGTAGAATATAGATTTTTAGCAAATTAAACATGTCCATTTAAAGTTTAAGGTATACTACACGATGTACAAGTTAAGTTGTGGTAATTTTAATAAGTTTATATAAGTACAATCAATAGCACTGGTATCTGGGAAAGGGTAGATTGCGAGTCAGCGATAAAGAAAGAGCATATTAAACATTTCTTTGAACTGGATGGTCTCTGTAAAGTTCCTTCCTAGTCTTCCGATGGTGTGAATAGTGCTTTCTTTTATGGTTTCCATTGGTAATGTTGTGTCACACCCAGAACATAATTATTAATGTTGTACCCTTCAGGAAGTAGACCTATAGACTGAACTTAAAAAATACTGTTATCTTGTTCTAGGCAGTGTTAATGGATGGAAATGGAGTAAAGAGCATCTGTAATAAAACTAAGCTTCATAGGAATTTTGGAAATGGCAAATTCTTGAAAGAATTCTGAGAGAATTAATCTCTTTGGCTCCATATTAAAGTTAGTATTTAGCTGTGATTATTCTGAATAGCTCTGAAAATGACAGCCAAAATCACTTTATCTTCTTTCTTCATCTGCAGGTTGGTATTTTTAATACTGATCTTTAGAACCTTCATTAGAGTTTGCCTCATTAATAAAATTTAGAAAACATTCTTTTCTACTAAAATTGTGCCTCTCAAAAGTTTTACTTCAGACCTTTAGTGTATTTTAAGAATAAACTTCCTTTAAACCATCTATCGCATGTTTTAAGGAAGTGTTCTTATAGAGATATTATGAGAAATCATCAAAGTAAACAGATCTGCTGTCAAAATGAATGTTTATATTTCCTTTTCCCTTTTATATTACCATTTCATGATTCAATGTGCATATATTTTGATAAGGGGAAATCAATATTTATAATGCTGTGTAATAAGGACTTAAATTATATGCATTAGGGCTCCTTCTTTGAAAGTAATTAAAATTTAAGGCAGGTTAGGGATTGATGACTGAGAGTTTATTGATTGTGATGTAATGCAGTGCTTTAATAACTTACTGGTTACTGGTTACTATATGTTTTTCTTTTTTTGCCTAACAGATTTAGTATTAATGAGTTGATCCTACTCGGAGGAATTGATCTCATCAGATATGGTCCTTGAGAAATAGTTTATGAAAGGGCAAGAAAAAATATTATTCAATACTTTGAATAATTATAAAGGTGGTGTTTATTACAATACATTTCATTTTCAAAATGTAATAGGATCAGCTGTTAAAGTTTACACATATTTTTGGGACACCCTGTATATATACACATTATACACACACACACACACACACACACACACACATACTCACAAATACATAAATATATTGCATATGTACAGGACAATTATTATTGCAAACTGTGCAGAATAAATGTTAAAATTTTCTTATATGGAATATTTGTTTCATTATTTATTTTTAAAATATTATATATTTTATTGATTTTTTACAGAGAGGAAGGGAGAGGGATAGAGAGTTAGAAACATCTATGAAAGAGAAACATTGATCAGCTGCCTCCTCCACACCCCTTACTGGGGATGTGCCTGCAACCAAGGTATTATACATGCCCTTGACCGGAATCAAACCCATGACCTTTCAGTCTGCAGACCGACACTCTATCGACTGAGCCAAACCGGTTTCGGCTGTTTCATAATTTTTTGAAACAAATAATAGCTTTGAAAATTTTTGCTTCTATTATTTTTTTAAATGCATGAATTCAACTTTATTTAGTGCCTATGTAAAAGTTTTTTCTTAACTATAATATCACTAATTTAATAAACATTTTAAAACATGTCTTTTGGAAGTATTAACATTTCAATGAAAATTTAAAATAATTCTTTTCAGTTTCAAAGAAGTTTAGAAGAAGAGCCACTGTATTCACTAGCATTAAACATATGTGTTGTAGGTTTTTCATTAATTTAGATGAAAATATTTCACATGAATATGATTGTTACTGGAAAGATTTTTAAGCTTTTACTTTTAATTATTTCATCTTGCATCCCTAACATTTAAACAGCAAATGTCATTTTTAAAATAATTTTTTTGAGTGCAGTTTATATGTTGCTTTGTGGAATATTTTAGGGTGAATACATTTGTTAATGTTTACAGTGTAACAGTAAACTCTGTGTAGTTCACATAGTATTATAGTAAAACTGCTTTTCCTCCTTTAGTGAAGTTTTTCTTTTATTTTTTTAAACCAAAAAAAATATATACACTGAGTGGCCAGATTATTATAATCTCTGAACGCATAATAATCTGGCCACTCAGAGTACTTCTCTTGAGCACCTCATTTATTTGATATCAGAGATACTATAAATCATGCACCTGATCAGTTTTCCCCTTTGCATTGGCTGATAGAAGCTCAGAGCAAAATAGGTGGTTGATCTCCAGCAAATACTCAATGCAATAGGATCAGCTGTATTTGTATCTCATTGTATTTGTATCTCAAATGGGTACCAAAAGTATTCTAGACTTCCCCCCTCCCTTCCACGCTCTCTAAAAATCCATGGATAAATATCCTCACCTGTGGATATTTATCCATGGATTTTTTAGAGAGCATGAAAGGGAGGGGGAGAGAAACATTGATGTGACAGAGACACATCAATTGGTTGCTTCCCACATATGCTGGGACTAGGGCTGGGGAGGAGTCTGCACTGAGATATGTGTCCTTGACCAGAATTAAACCCAGGACCTTCAATCCATGGGCCGATGCTTTGTCCACTTTATCCGCCTAACCATACTCAGAGGATGGCTAAGGTAGGACCTTTTTAAAAATTGGTTTGAGAGAGAGAGATAAACATTGGTTTGAGAGAGAGAAGCATTGATAGATTGCCTCCTGTCTGTCCCTGACTAGAGATCAAACCCAAAGCCTAGGTTTGTTCCCTGACCAGGAATTGAACCTACAACCTTTTGGTGTACAGGATGACACTCAC